TCTCAGCAGAATAATCATCTCGAGCATCGTTGCATTCGTATTTTATATTGAAGTTCTTCATAAGTTCTAATTGTCGTGCTGAAAATGAATATCCAACAAATGCTTCATCCTATGACTCATTTTCCAATTTAAGATACTTTCCACATTGCCAAGGTTTGAAAAGTGCGAGCATTGTAGAGCAATAATACTCTCGATCTCCTTGGTCACATCTTGGTAATCCACCTCCAACAAAATTTGGAACAAAAGCATTTTCTTCATCAACAACTGTAACCTTATGAGTACAATACTGAGGATGCTCTGGAAGAAATTCATGGCTTTCATGTTCATCATACATAATTTGGTAATCATTTAGTTCATCCTCAGAGTCTAGATCTTGATGCCCAACTTCATCTTCTATGTCATCATCCATACTGTCTCCTCCACCAAGAAAATTAATTTCATCTTCTCCTTCTGTGTCTGTGTCATCATCTTCTGCATTAGATTCTAGTTCATCCTTATCATAATGAACATCAAACTCTTGCTGTTCTTCTTTTGAACGCTTCTCTTTTTTGGCTTTACATATCCAGTCATATAGAGACATGCGCTCATAAGCAGTTGGGTGGTAGATATAATCATATACACTTGATATTCCAATGTATGTGCCATCATACTTCTGCAAAACTACTTTGTCTGGTGCATCTTTATATTTAGTGTTAAATGACTCTGTTGTATTATTTTCCGTATCTATCCATGCACTTCGTGCCTCTCTTACATAATTTTTCCAATAGAAAAGAATGAATTTGTGGCTGGTATAATGGTCAGGATTTCCAAGCAGATAAAGAGAAGCCATGGGGCTTCCAATTTCCATCTTTGCAGTCAATGTGTTTACCATTTTTGTCATCAAGCACCGAGCTGTGTTTTGCCTATCTGTACTACCTCCGATCATCTCAGAATTTCTATTGAATACTTGTCGGACAGCATCAAATGTGGTATATGAACTTAATCCTGATTTTGTAACATAATCAGTGATATACCCTACAACAGCTTTGATCGCTGTACCTGACATCAAGCTAGTAACATCTGTATTGCATCTAATCATGTATGTAAGTTCTGGTGTAAAAGTATTTAACCACATTTCACCTTTCTTTATTTTTAAAGCACCACTAAGTGGATCCACCATTGTCTCTTCAACAATTTCTCGAGGAAAACGAGCTTTGCACTGACCACGTGAATTGAGGCACCCCTTACGTTTAAGTTTAGTAGGGTCCTCCCCATCTATTTCAGGTCTACAGCATCCATGATGATTAGATCGAGACAGAATATCATCTGTTGTTGCTCTATA